CTTCGGTGGAGCTCCCTATGGGGCCACGATCCTCGTGAGGGGTGTGCCGAAATGGCCCGAGGCCGCCATGCGAACACTGCCACTGGGGCCTTCGGTGGAGCTCCCTATGGGGCCACGATCCTCGTGAGGGGTGTGCCGAAATGGCCCGAGGCCGCCATGCGAACCCTGCCACTGGAGCCTTCGGTGGAGCTCCCTATGGGGCCACGATCCTCGTGAGGGGTGTGCCGAAATGGCCCGAGGCCGCCATGCGAACCCTGCCACTGGGGCCTTCGGTGAAGCTCCCTATGGGGCTACGAAACGTTGTGCTGGGTGGGTGAAACGCAAGGAGGAGGGGGAGGAGGAGAGGAGGAGAGGAGACGCGGGCCACCGTCTCTTCAAAACGAGGACCCAACACCACAGGATGGTTGGGAAAAATTGCTTTTGCCTCTCGAACCCAATTTTCGGAAAAGGGTCTCCACAAATCAACCAGGCCCCGAACGGGCGAGGGGGAAGGGCAGCCCCCAAAACTTGCCAGACTGGGGTTCCCTGCCCGCCCTGAGCTTGTCCAAGGCCACACGAGCTAGTCGAGCCGCAGCCCGAGCCTTCTGCGACAAGGGAGTGCACGGCCGGGACAGGAACAGGGCCTGGCGACGACCATACGCGCCGCACGTGCGGCAGAAGACAATCGCCTCCGTCCCACCACTCCCATGGGCCCCCGACACACTCCCCACCCCACCACCCCGAGACGCCCACAGCCTATGGGAGGGGCGGGACGAGGCCGCCACCCTGGGGACCCCAGGGCACGGGTGTGAAACCAGACGGGACCTGAGGGTTCTCCTGACTCCGCATTTCTTGCACCCCCAACACCTCCCGAGACGAACGATCGAGTGGCCCCTCGGCGAACTCTCTAAAATCAGACCGTCTCTGGAGGGGGGGCGCGGGCGGGGCAGGGGACCACGGTCAGGCCAGCCCAGAGGAGCGTGCCTCTTAAACACCTCGCCGTGGTGGCGCAAGAGCAGGGCGGCGGCAGCCTTAGATGTCTCCCACCTCCGCTCCAGCACCTCCATGTTCAGCTGCGGGTGGAGCCTCGCGCCGAGCTTCGCGCAGCGGTCGGCCTCGCGGTTGCCCCAGCACTCGAACCACGCCATCCCGCGGCGGACCGCTTCTGGCCAGCTGGCATGAGCCTTGATCCACCGCAGCGTGAAGTTGTCCGCGCCCAACTGGTCAAGGTGCCAGAATACGCGCACCCACAGATCAGCATACTTGTGACGCGGCCCGCAACAGAAATCGCGGTCCCGATGGTAATCCTTGCACGCCGCCTTGCAGTCCGTGAGCACCTCCCGGGCCTCGTAACTCTTCTCCTCCAGGGCCTTCAGCAGTGCGAAAGGCTCCGCGTAGCCAATCTCCTGGATCCAGCCTGGGACGTCGCCATACATGCCCCCCAGGATCTCGCCCCGACGGGAGACCATGATGGACGACCAGCCCGTGCGGGATAAGACTCTGCATTCAGGGATGGTTGCCGAGCCGTCGATGCATACCACCCCTCGGAAGAGCTCCCTGCGGGCCAGCCCGGCTCGCAGGACCGCGCCGGTTGAACGGCGGCGGAGCCTGATCGAACTTGAGATTCACCAAGCCCCGCAGCATGCCCAGGTCGTCGGGCGCCGCCGCGCGCCCGGCCAGAGCAACCTCCTTCAGCCCGAGCTCCTCCGCCCAGGTACTGGACGCCGGGCACTTGACCTGTGGTGCGTAATCCCCAAGGCCAGCTTGCACCACTGACAACCGGGGTCGGTCTCGGAGCGCTCCACGCACAGGTCGAACTGGGACACCAACCCTCCTGCGATGAGGGCCTCCAGAAGTTGCACCATCTCATTGTGCCCCTGCGCTCGAGGGCCCGCCAGCGCGAACCTGATCGGGCCCAGGTCAGGTGGGCGACCCCGCAGCGCCTCGAAGCCAGGGTGGAAGGAGACCTCGCGCATCAGACGCCTATAGATGCCATCTTCAACCATGCCGACAAGCATCCGCGGGCTGAGCACCTGAAGGTCCAGCACCGCACCGCGGTCATCACGCCAGACGTGCCAAGACTCCGCCGCCCAGCCCATTCGTCTGAGCGTCAGCTTGACCGCCGCGGCGGGCCCCGTGACATCGGCCCACGACTCCACCGGCGCCGCGAAGACCATCTTGAAGACGGAGTCGGGCCTGAACTTCCCGAACACCGCGGTCGCCCAGGCCTGCAGCGGCAGCGCGTCGGCGGCATACGCAGGGTCCTGCCTCCACGCCTGGCCGCCCTGAAGCGCGAACTGGACGGTCCTCGACTTCCTGCCCGCCTCTCCAGCCAGAGCCTTGCCATTCAGGGCGCGGGCCCTGGCAAGCTGCTGACTGGGGACCCCGCGGACACGGGCCCCGTGCAGGATGGAAGCCAAGCCGCCAGTGCGAAACACACTGCCCAGCCGAGCTCCCGCCTTACGCAGGGCCATGTACCTGGAAGCCTTCGTCTTGAGGCGAGCGAGGCGTCCGCGCAGGACCTTCCAGGACGCCCTTTCGTCCATCGAGTAGTCCACGCCGAGGTTGCGGGCCTCCCGGACGTACCTGAAGTTCCACTCCGCGAGCTTGCTGGCCAAGCGCTTCCCCGCAGGTGGGTCGCCGGCGAGGACCTGGCCCTTGGCCAGCGACACCTTGAAGCCCAACTCCTCCAACAGGCGGCAGAGCATCCTCGCGGCGCCCAGGATGGTCGCCTCGATCTGCTTGAGCCCCCCGTAGACCACCAGCGCGATGTCGTCGACCACCACGGGTCTCGACCGACTGCCAGCACCTCAGCACGGCACCCACTGGCTGGACTAGCACGACCTTGAGGAGGGTGGTGGCGAAGGAGCAGCCCGCCAGCAACGACAGGAGGACGTGGAACGCCTCGGACTTCCAGCGATCCAGGCAGAGACGGCGCCGACCTCCATACAAACGCAGGAGCAGCTTAACTCTGCGCAGCGGGAAGCCTTCTCGGCGAGCTGCCACCACCATCCCCCTGTGCGCGACCCTCTCGTAGGCCTTGCTCAAATCCAGCATGGACGTGATTGTCTCCAGCTTCATCGCCCTCGCGTGGTCCGCGTCGAAACTCTGGAGCCACACCGCATCCTCGCAGGACCTGCCCACGCAAAGAAGTACGGGCGGTCACGGCCCCGCCCCCAGGCCTTCGCCTCCGCGTGACGGATCTTCCCCAGCAGCCGCAGAAGGCTGCACATCAACCCGATCGGCCTCCAGCCGCCCTCGGGCTTGGCCAGGAAGAAAATCAACAGCTCCGCCACCTGCGTGGGCAGCTCGACCGCCAGCTCGACGAGGTGGAGCAGCAAACCAAGGGCGACCAAACCATCGGCGGACAGCCGCCCGAACTGGCCCAGCTTGATGCCGTCGACACCCACCGCCGTCTTCGGCTTGAAGGACTGCGCGGCCTCCAAGATCTCCAACGGCGTCGGCGGCGGCGGAGGGGGCTCGAGCAGATCCTCGGGGAGGGCCTGGTCCAAGTCGAACTCCTCCTCGCCGAACTTCCACACCTCCTGGTACTCCTCCTTCAGGGCCCGCAGCGTGGCCGAGATGCCCGCGGGCGAGCCGTCGGCCGTCGCCTGGTCAGCTGACCAGCCCACAGGGGCTTTGCAGAAGCCGTGAGCCGCGCCTCCGCCGTCCGCGACCGCCGACCGTGCCCACTCACGCCAGCTGCGCGAGCGCTGCACCGCAAGGCGCCTCTCGAACCTCTCCGCCACCGCCCTGGCATGCTTCTCCAGCGCCTGCACCTCCTGGAAAGTGAGGTTGCCCACTGCACGGAGCTCCCGAGCCAGCTCGGTCTGGCGCCGGCGCCGGCGGGCCTCACCCCTTGGAAAGAGGTCGCCCACCAGGTCCGTCGCCGCCAGGCGTCCGAGCTTACCCTGGAGAGCGGACAGCAAGGCCAGCTCCTGCGGCCGCCGGTGCTCGAGGCGAAGGCGGCGACGCGCCTGAAGCATCTCCCACAGCAGGCTGCCGATGTGCCTCCAGCGCCTGGCCTGCTCGCAGCCCCGCAAGAAAGGCCCCTGCGCCTTCGTGAAGGCAGGCCGCGGGACGAAAGACGGCCCCTGCTCCCGACCTGCGTGCTTCGCCGTCTCCACGGCGTCCCAATCGAAGCGGCCGCCCAGGTCCTCCGCCAAGAGGCTAACGAACTCGGCGTAGAGCTGGTCCAGCGTTGGCAGCTCCGGCAACCTCTGGGCTGCTCGCGCCACCTCCCCAGGGGAATGCACATCCCTGGCCAGGAGGGGGGGTAGGGAACTCGCCACCCCCCCTCCCGTCGAAGACCCAGCTCTCGCAGAAGCCCCAATCGCCGACGGCGCCGGGGTGCTCGCAGCAGTGCTCGGAACAAACGGGACCTCGCCAAGGGCGCAATCGGGGCTCTCAGAGGACCCCGCCACGGGCGGCACGATTCCCACGCTGCGACCTGCTCCCTCCGGAGGTCGCTCAACAGGTGGCCCACGCTGCACCGCAGAGTCCACGGCAAACCCAGCTCGGACCCGCCATCGCACTGCCGCCTCCGTCAGCTTGCCGATCAGCGGTAACCAGTCAGGTGGCTCCCTCCTGGGCCCCACGGGCCTCTCGGCAGGGAGCGTCCGGGGCGCCTTGTGCAGCTGCGCCTGCTCCTGGCTCTTCGTGCCCGCCACGGTGAGCCGGACGGGGTAGTGAGGCGCCAGGTCTTCTGTCTGCCGCTCCACGCCTCGCACCAGACCTCCGAACCCACTCGAGACCACAGAAAAAAAATCTCCGAGCCACCTCCGATCCTGCAGGTGTTCGCCCCCGAACTGACCACCACGCCGCCCACCTTGTCCGGCCAGCCCCAAGCCTCGAGGGCCTCAGGGCTGCAGTTCCAGTCGCCACCAATGACGAACGGAAGGCGCACCTCCGCCAGGTACTGGCCCACCTGCGCCAGGATGAGCTTGCTCTCCGCGTCGAGCCCCGACGCGTCCGCGACCAGGTAGACCGAGAGCGCCGGGAAGCCGCCAGGGACCACCGCGCTAATCCACCTCGCCAAGACGCGATCCGCGGGAAGCGGCAAGCCCCTCGGCGGCAGGCTCATGCCCAGGTGCGGGCGGCAGGCGATGCCCACCCCGCACGAGAGGCCCCCGCGCTCCGTGCGCGTGGCCTCCGTCAGCGATGCCTTCCAGACTTCGCGGCGGCACGCCTGCTCGACCTCCGCCACGGTGCCAGGCGCCACGCCCGTCTCCTGCAAGAAGACGATGTCCCCCACGGCCTCGGCCTGCAGCCACTTGAGCATGCTCGCCTTGGACGCGGCGTTGGCCGTCTCCAGCCTCCAACACTCGCCTGCGCGGCGCCTGCTCTCAAGCAGTCGCGACGGCTTTGCCAACGCCAGCTGCCCGGGAGCCTCCGCCAGCCGCTTACGCCTCGGCCGCGCCTGCGCCTGCGGCCTCGCGCCCGAGGTGCAGCTTGGCGCGCTTGGGCAGCGGGCAGCCTTTGTCTGCGAGGAAGGCCTCGAGCTCCTTCCGCTCGTCGTCGTCGAGGGCCCCGACCGATGCGAAGAAGGAGTCGACCTCCATGCCTCCTCGCGGCAGGAGCGCCACGGCCATGATCCCCTGCAGCAGGCGGCTCAGCAGCAGCAGCGGGAGCATCAGCCGCCGCGGTCGCCGCGGCGTCGATCCGCGCCTGGGACGTGGCGGCCAAGCGGCTGAGGAGTTCGACGGCCTGGGTGAGCTGCACCGCCTCCTCGCCGTCGAATCGCCCTTGAGCTCGGCCACGCACCGCGCCCCCAGCGTCGCCTGGGCCAGGGTGTCGCGGTCCGCCGACAGGGCCGACGGGCCTGCAGGCGAAAGGCCAGCCTGCTCGGCCTGCCGCGCCCGTTCCAAGGCCTTGGTCGCCTCCAGGCCTCCAGGTGGGCGGCGCGCACCGAAGCCTCGTGTTTGCTGGCCTCCTCCACGGCCGCCTGGGCATCGACGAGGACCTCCTTCGCCGCTGCCAAAGCCGCCTTGGCCTTCTCCAGCTTCTTCCCCACGTTCGTGACCTTCCACATGGCCGACTGCACCACGGACTGGTGAGTCGGCGGGGCCTTGGGCTCAGGAGGGCCCGTCTCGGCCTTGCCCAGCCCCACCTTCTTCTTCTGCTCCTCGCCGATGTCCAGCCCGTCGGCCTCCAGCAGCGCGACGGCCTCAGCAAGCTTGGGGGCCTGACCGCCGCTCCGGGCCTCGGCCTCCGCGAAGCGCACGCGCCTCGGCTGGCCTCCGCCGTGCACCCAGCCGCCGTCGTCCGCCCCCTCGAGGTCCACCACCTCCCCCTTGTCCTTGGCCTTGGCGCGCGGCTTGGTCTTGCCGGCAGCGCCAGGCGGCTTGGGCGGAGCCGACTCCGCGGCAGGGCCTGCCGCTCGCTCGACCGCCCTCTGACGCGTGAGGAGAGGCGCGCCCTTGTCGCATCTCCTGCACGAAAGCCTGCTCGCCCAGTTCGCGCTCTCTCCGCAGGGACAGCCCCAGTGCGGGGTCTTGGGCCCTGGCAGCACGACATCGGGAGAGCGCCACGGGGGTACTGCCCCACCTCCGTCACTCCCACGCTGGCGGGCTGGCGGGCGGCGGGTACCCATGGCAGATTTTTTTCCGAACTCCAATGGCCCCTGCAGACGGGCCGCTCTGAAGTACGCCTGCAGAAGCTCCTCTGCCGCAGCCCTAGGAGCCAGAACGGCTATACTACTCTTCCCCCTCCTCCTTTTCATGCTCCTCCTCCTTCTCCTCCTCCTCCTCTCCCTCCTCATCCTCCTCCTTTCACGACTCAAGCACGGGTGGCCCAAGGCAGCGTACCCAGTTGGGCTCGAGCTAGACATGGAACACCCAGCCAATTCCCTTCTCGTGGCGCATGGGGGGGTCCCACCAAGATAGTTGTTCTCGGTGTGGATGGCAAGCATGGTCGAATCCAGGTTATTGCAGCTTTGTATTTCAATTGTCGCACTTTCCCGAACACCTTCCTCGGCATCCCGTCTGCACCGAGGGGCACGGGGGCTTCGAGCCCATCTAAGTAGTCCCAATCGGGCGGCGGAGCGCGGCTGTGTTCGTCGTGGTGCTCTCCTTGGCATTCTTCTTCGGCATCCCGTCCGCAACCGAGGGGCACGGGGGGTTCGAGCCCATCTAAGGCCCACTCGGGCGGCGGCCTTTTCGATGGAGCGTGGGTCTGGGAGCTATTTCAATTCAGTGCACTTCAACTTCTCGTGTATCCATCTGGTTGTATTGAAAGGGTGAACACACCGTCGCTCGCTTGCTGTGTTGTGGTCCTTTGGTATTGGCTGTTGGTGAGACTGTCTGTGGAGGAGGCGGTCCGCCTGGGTTGCCCGATGACCAGTGGTGTTCTCACCCTGATAAAGGGCCGCAACGAGCCGAATTCATCTCAGCTTAACCTCTGCCATGCTGTGTGATTTTATGCACCGTGGGCGCTGTCACTGTCTGGAGGGACCCATCCGCGGTATCATCTCGGTGTTCCACGGGCTTCTCTTTCAGCCGGCCGTGTACGGGTTGAAGTGCGTCTCATTCTTGTTCGTCGGCTTCTACGGCAAGCTCAGGGGGGGCGTGTGTTGTCGTAAATTATTGTAGTGGCCTCCGGCCAGTGCCGCCGATCTGGGGCGCTCCGACTGGTGTGATCCTCTTTCGCCCTCTTCCCTCTTCTCTTTTTCCCTCGCTCCCCTTCTCACTCTGCATTTATCGAAGACGCCTACGGCGAATCACCGCCGCCCCCTGCCTTTTTGGAAGCGCCTATGTGGCCGAACGTTGAGGCCAGACCTGCCAAGCTATCGGACCACGTGTTCCCCGAATCGGTTTGGAAAGCCTTCGGGGAACACGTGGGCATCTTGAAGGTCATCTTGGCCGTCTTGGAGGCCTCTTGGGCAAGCTTTGGGCGATCTTTGGGGCTTTTTGGGCCGTCTCGGGCCAGCTTCGAGCCAACTTCGGCCATCTTGGTGGGTTCCTGGCACGTCTGAAGCCGTCGGAAGCCGTTTGGAGGGCCTCTATGGGCCGACTTGGGGCCCGCTTGGAATGCTCCAGGGCCGTCTTGGAGGCCATCTTGGGCGTCTGGGAGGCCATCTTGGGCGTGTTGGAGGCCTCTTGGGCCCTCTTGGGGCCCTCTAGGGGCCATCTTGGAGGCCACTTGGGCCATCATGGGGCTCTCTTGGGGGCCTCTTGGGCGATCTTGGGGGCTTCTTGGGCCGTCTCGAGCCGTCGGAGAGCCGAAAAGGCGCAAATGCCAGAATCCTTCAAAAACCAAGGAAAAATCAATGATTTTGGCCTCTTCGGACTCTCCTGGAGGACCTCTTGGAGGCCTCTTGGGCCGTCTGGGAGGCCTCTGGGGGGCCTCTTGGGCCGTCTTGGGCCGTCTTGGACTCTCTTGGGCCGTTTTGGAGGCCGTCTTGGACCATCTCGGGCGGACTTGGAGGCCATCTTGGGCCATCTTCGCGATTTGTTGAGGATGTCCCGAGCGAAACGGCCGTTTTTTTGAGGATTTTTTCCGGTCGTTGAGCACCTTCCGGGTGGCCGGCGGGTTCTGCCGGAGCCCACTGGGGAGTTCTTTTGGAAAAAGAACCAAAACCAAAACCTGACAGCTCGTCCAGCACGCCGTGCACCCCTGCAAGCAGGGGGCGGCGGATCTAGTGGCCTTCGGCCTATCCCGCCAACGTGCCTGGGTGGTGGGTCAGAGGCCTCATGGATGTTGGTTGGGATCTCGTGGTTGGCCTCTTCGGGGCCTCTGGGAGGCAGTTTTGAGGCCCCCCTGGGCCTCTTGGGCAGTTGCGGAGCTTCGGGGCCACTTTGGGGCCTCTTGGGGGCCTCGTTGGGGCCTCTTGCAGCTTTTGGGGGGCCTCTTGGGAGCTTCTTGGGGCATCTTGGAGGACTCTTGGGAGCTTCTTGGGGCGGGAGGGGGGGGGGGGCACTCGAGTTTGGGACCCCCTTCGGAGGCCACGATCCTCGTGAGGGGTGTCAAAAAATGCCCTCCCCAGAGACCCGCGGGTAGCCGCGACAAGCCCTAGGAGCCACCCCGAAAGAGGAGCACAACTCGTCCCCCCCCCTCCCCCCCCTTCTTCCCCGGCAGAGCCACCCCAGCCCCCCCCCCGCAGAGCTGAAGCTCAGGCTGTAGGCTGTAGGCTGTAGCTGAGGCTTTTTCAAGCTCACACGATAGATCGGCGGATATCGCTATACGCGATGGCGGAATCCCTGGAGTCCTCCTCCTTTCACGAAGCTGGCGCGGTCCTCCCGCCCGTCGCCCCCCAGCGCACACACGCCCGTGCCGTGCGCGCGCGCGCCCCTCTGCTGAGTCGCGCCACGACGGCGCGATGTATGACTCCTTGCAGCGTGGAAAAAAACACGGGGGAGGTTTTTGATGCATTCTCGGCCTCCGAGGGCCCCCTCCGGGCTGCGGGACAGTAAAAATTACCGTGGCAAAGGACCCAAGCATATGCAGGTGTGAGTACCGTCGTTGCGGGTATCGGCATCGCCTTCGGGAAATCTTCTCGTGGGGCCCCGAAGCATGCAAAGGGCGCGCCGATGTGGGGCGCGACATGTGGGCGCTGCCACCGGTGCTTTCAGCGGAACGCACTACAGGGCAGCGAAAAGTGTAAGGGGTGCGCCGCACTGGGGCGGGGCCGCCACTGGAGCCTTCGGTGGAGCTCCCCATGGGGCAACGAAACGCTGTACTGGGCGGGGGTGACGCATGCAAATACAGCCACTGGGGCCTTCGGTGAAGCTCCCCATGGGGCCACGCAGCGCTGTGCTGGGCGGGGGGAACGCATGCGAACACCGCCACTTGGGCCTTCGGTAGAGCTCCCCATGGGGCCATGAAACGCTGTACTGGATGGGGGTGACGCATGCGAGCGGTGCCACTGGGGCCTTCGGTGAAGCTCCCTGTGGCTCCCTATGGGGCCACGAAACGCTGTACTGGGTGGGATGCTGATGCTGATGATGATGGAGGAGGGAGGAGGGGGAGGAAGGAGTGAGGGACGCGGGGCGCTCTTCAAAACGAAGACCCAACACCACAGGATGGTTGGGAAAAAGGGATGCCAAACCGGTCCCCAGGAAGAGGTCCACCCTCTGGGGAGCCACATCGTGAACAAAACACGCTGTCGGATGTCTGGATCCAGAGTCCGGTCGCCACGGCCCTGGACCTTCGATTCGGTGCTGCAAGGGGTGGCCCTGGCCCCAGGGTGGCCCCAAGGTGGCCCCAGAGAGGCCCCAGGCAGCTTCCAAGTGGCTCTCAGATGGCCGCAAGAGAGTTCCACACGAGCTCCCAGGAAGGGGCAGCCAGAGATACTTCAAGAAGGCGCGCAAGGGCGGGGACAAGTCGGGGCCTGGACCACCTCTGGCAGCGCCTCGGAACCGGCCTCTCGAGAGACCGCGCCCGCACCCCCGGGAGCAGCGCCAGAGCGGCGCGAGACTGCCGCACGGGCGGATAGCGCTGGCGTGTACACCGTTCTCTTTGGGAGCACGGCCCGACTGCCGCCAAACAGGCCCTCCGAAGTCCGCGGCGCCCCTTTTGCCCCTTCGTGCGGCAGCGTGCGGGCGCGGGGGCTCTCTCCAGCTGCCGCTCGTGGTGCAGCTTCAGCAGCCTCCGGAGCTTGTCGGACGCCTCGTGGGAGATGTTCCGCGTCACGTCCTTTCGCGGGCCGCGAGGGAGGCAAAGAGCGAGGCGGCCCTCGTCCCCTGGGAAGCCATCTGGGTATAGGCTACAAGGCGTTCGCTGCGTTCTACCAGGCTGCGTTGGGAGAAGGAAGAGGAAGAGAAGGAGGAGGTGGAGGACATAGAAAAAAAGAATATGAAGAAAAAGAAATAACAAAAAAGAGATACGGCATACGGAAACTCACCAACCCCGCCTTGGGAGAACAGACTGTGCCGCCCTGGGAAGTGCAACCAGCCTCGCGAAAGCGCAGAAACACGACACCACCACCGCACCACCACCACCACCACCACCACCAACAACAACAACAACAACAATTACTAGCACGTGGGGACACTCCGTTCTCACCAGTGCCAGGGTTTTCATAGGAGGCGGGCAATACCCCCACTTTGTGGGGGGGCCGGTTCAAGCTCTACCAAATTTCCAAACGACTCTTCGCCACCACCCACACCCAGCTTCCCACCCTATGACGTTCGGACACTTCACTTCGTGGCATGCGGACGACCGTGGCTACTATTCAGGGCCCCGCGGCCGACGACGACGGCGTGCGCGCGCGAAGAAAAAACGAATGTGTCCCGCATGGTATTATTTGACAGGGATGATGGCCCTGGCAGGTGCGCAACCGTTGTCGCAGAAGTTCGAAAAAGTTGCTCGCAAAAGCCCGTTTGACAGAAATGTTTAAAAAGTGTTGGTTTTCCTACGAATCCGCAAGAGCGCGCGGGATGAGATTTTGACATTTTTTTGTTGAAAAACCATTGGTTTTTTGATGTTTTTATGTTAAAATCGCTCCGAACACTAAGCTTTTGGAAGGATTTCGTCTTGCGCGCGCGAATGTCCACTTTACCTTATTTTTTGCAAGGGATTCTTGAAATTTGATTATATTAGAACAAGAAATGTCATTTTCTATTGTTTTTTGCAAGGGAAAGCGGATTACAACAAAACAACCGGATCCTGTACACACCCTCTTTTCTGAGGCTTCCTCACGAAAATGATGAAAATGTAGCTGCGGCCTAGGCGGCGCAGGGGGGGCGCGCACCAGGGGGCCCAACAATAATTATTCTTTAGAATAAATAATTCAACAACAACAACAACAACAATTACTAGCACGTGGGGACACTCCGTTCTCACCAGTGCCAGGGTTTTCATAGGAGGCGGGCAATACCCCCACTTTGTGGGGGGGCCAGTTCAAGCTCTACCAAATTTCCAAACGACTCTTCGCCACCACCCACACCCAGCTTCCCGCCCTATGACGTTCGGACACTTCACTTCGTGGCATGCGGACGACCGTGGCTACTATTCAGGGCCCCGCGGCCGACGACGACGGCGTGCGCGCGCGAAGAAAAAACGAATGTGTCCCGCATGGTATTATTTGACAGGGATGATGGCCCTGGCAGGTGCGCAACCGTTGTTGCAGAAGTTCGAAAAAGTTGCTCGCAAAAGCCCGTTTGACAGAAATGATTAAAAAGTGTTGGGTTTCCTACGAATCCGCAAGAGCGCGCGGGATGAAATTTTGACAATTTTTGTTTTGAAAAACCATTGGTTTTTTGATGTTTTTATGTTAAAATCGCTACGAAAACTAAGGTTTTGGAAGGATTTCGTCTTGCGCGCGCGAATGTCCACTTTACCTTATTTTTTGCAAGGGATTCTTGAAGTTTGGTTATGTTAGAACAAGAAATGTCACTTATAGCTTTTTTTGCAAGGGAAAGCGGGCGTCAACAAAACAACCGGATCTGGTATACCCCGTTTTGCCTGAGACTTCCTCACGAAAATGATGAAAATGTGGCTGCGGCCTAGGCGCGGCGGGGGGGTCGCGCACCAGGGGTCCCAACAATAATTATTCTTAAGAAGAAATAATGTTCAACACACACACAGACACACACACACACACACACACAAACACACATACACACACGCACACACAGAGACACACACACACACACTTTTCCGTCGGCAGCCGTTTGCGCAGTACCGCGACGCTCACAAGAGGCGAAAGGTCAAAGCTGGGCAAGCGAACAAAGAAGACGGACAAGGAGAGACGGCAACATGGGCGGCGAAGGCAGACGACCAAAAACACAGAGGACATGCAAGAGGGGAAGCAAGAAAGGGTCCAGACCGACCACCACGCACACACGTACACGGTTTCTTCTCGCACGGTTGGTCCAACGCAGCGAAGGCAATAGCGGAGCGCGCTGAAGACTCAGTACCACCGAACGGTACCGATGGGAGGTCGGAGCGAAAGTTGACGCACACAATACAAAAGAAGGGCCAAGGGGACATGCATGCACAGGTAGACATGCCCCACACAAGCGAGCCCGGCGCCGCCGCAGGCAGCCATGGCGAGGCGGCGGCGGCGGCCGCGGCGCACGGCCTGGCCGCGCCGCACAGGCCGCGCCAGCCAACCTCGAACCCTGACCCCGGGGGGGGAGGCCCCCCCTGGAAACGGCTTGAGCCAGTGGCTACGGAAAAATACACACTCACACACAATCGCACACGCACACTTTGCACGCAACCGGAGCGAAGAGCCATACGGGCGATCCAAGGTTACCGGAACGAATCGAATACGAACTCAACCAGCAGCTCCCCTCACGAACGCACACGCGCACACAAGCACGCACGAACACAAACACACACACACACACACACACGCACGCACGCACGCACGCACGCACACACACACACACACACACACACACACACATATACACACACGCTCACAAACACACGCTCTCTCTCTCTCTCTCTCTCTCTCTCTCACACACACACACACACTGCTTGGCGTCGCAGCCACGCGAGCAGCGGTGAGGCGTAGTGAATGTCGGGCAAGGGCGCGCGGGCCTGGCCAGATCACGCAGAATTGAGGAGCCAGATCCACCCATACAACACCACAGCAACCACAACCACCACGACCACCAACACCACACCCGCCCCTGGCCACACCATCACCGCCCCTGACCTCGTCTCTGTCGCCCTCCATGTGGTGGCCCTCGGCCCCAAGACGGCCCTACGACGGCCCCAAGAAAGCTCCCAGACGACCAAGAGAGCCCCCCTCGACCAAGGGTGCTCCAAGATGTCCCAACAGCACCGGGCACCAAGATGGCCCAAAAGGGCTCCAACAGCACAGGAACCAAAGACAGCCCCAGAACGGCACATAATCGCTGGCCCCACGGGCCAGAGGCGTGCTAAGTCCTCTGGGGATAGGAATACAATGTCTCTAGCTCGCACGCGCGTGGCGGCCCCTGGGGGGGCCCTGGTCGCAAAGCACCCCGGACACTCCGTCCAAGGATGCCCGAACTCCCGGGGCGGCCCCAAGACGGGCCGAGAGGGCCCCAAGGGTCCGAGCCGCCCGAAGATCGCTCCAAGATGCCCAAACTGGCCTCCGGACGGCCCAAGAGGCCTCCAGGACGCCCCAGAAGGCCGCCAAGAGCACTCCCAAGAGGGCCCCAAGGGGCAAAAGTGCATGACGTCTTTGGGTTTTGGCGGAGTTTAGCGTTCTTGCCCTTTCGGCTTCCCGATACCACAAGACGACCCCAGAGGCCCCAAGATCGGCCCCAGGACGGCCCAAGAGGCCCCCACGCACGAGGCCAGAGGCCCCCTAGACGGCTCCAAGAGGGAGCCCAGACGAGGAACCCGAACGGACACTTCGAACCCTCGGCCCCAAGAAGCCCCCAGGAGGCCCCAGGGGATCCCCAAGAGGCCCGAAAGAGGCCCCCGAGAGGCCTCCGGGAAGCCCCAAGCGGCCCCCAATAGGCCCCCCGGAGGCTCCCAAGACGCTCCCACGAGGCCCCAAAAATGCCCCCCAGAGGTCCCCGTGAGCGCGACGAAGGGACCCCAACAAGCATCCCTGAGGACTCTGACCGAAAAACCAGGCCCGGCGGTAGGACAGCGGAGGCCAGAACCCACACGACAAACTCCAAAGCAACTACTTCGCCTCCATGCCTGCTATCACAACGCCTACAGAACAGGACCACCGCAAAGCAACGCCGCATGGGCCACGAACGCGCAGGCAAACGCCAGCGATTGCAGAATACAGGCTGGCAGAATGAGCGAAGCGATTAAATAGCTCCATGATGGCGCCTCGAGGAGTGGACACGAAAAGTGCCCCATGTGTCGGCCTCCGGTGCTCGAATCTTTGCCACCCACAGTGCTGAGCGTGTGCGGTGTCGGGAATTGCCGCACGCACTTGAGTTTCCATGCGAGGAAGGTTTTGCGGCCAGACGCGTGCACACCACACAGTCTCCCAGAGGCGCCCCAAAGAGGAATGGCCGTGGGGTGTATAAAACAGGATAAGCCAAAGGTCCTGTTGCGTCATCATGGTGCCCGGGTGCTCGGGCGCGAGCATGGGCACTGGGTCCCAGTCGATGCCCCGGGCTGGCGCGCGCGCGCGACGACGACGGCGGTGATGGCAACGACGACGGCGGCCGCGACGACAACAACAGCCTTGACAGCGAGGATGACTACAGTGGCGACGACCCCCTCCCCTCCCCGATAGTAAGCCTCTGGTTAGGCACGCTTCGTCGATACTGTCTCCTTCGTTCGTTACGAGCCTCGGTTCACTCGGTGACCAACCAACCAACCTCCTCCTCCTCCTCCGCCTCCTCCTCCGCCGCCTCATCCGACCAACGAAAACCATATCCGCCGGCCCCCTTGTGAGGCCATCAGGCTGCGTGGGACAGGCTTGCTGCTCCCTGCTCCAGATCGAGTTTCAGCTCTCCCAGATTGTAGCTAAACTTCCTATTTCCTACTGAGAAAAAATTGTTACTGTCCGCGTGAGGGGGGGATGTCCTAGTCACCATTTAACCACGCCCCCCAGGGGGTCCCAGAATTGCGGGGGCCAGGAGGCACCGAGGAAGCTCCCAGGAAGCCCCCAAGAGGCCCCAGAAGGCCTCAAGAGGCCCCAGGAGGCCCCAGGAAGGTGCAAGGTCCGCAAAACCTCGCAGGGTGCTCACTCATGGCGCGCAAAAACCTCAGTAACCTACGTGCTGGAATTCTAACTGACGCCAATTAACTGGAGCCCACGTTCGATTTCGCAAATTGTTTCCTCGTCCGGGTCAAGGGTTTTCGTTTTGTCCGCTGGCAGGTCCTCTGGGTCGATTTCCCCGCTCACGCCCTCCAGTTTCCAGTTAGCCGAAAGCATTTTGGACGAGGCGGCCCCTCATTTCCCAGATTTGCCCTCGTCTTCTCCTGCGTCGCACTTATCCCTTCCAGCCCATTCCTTTCCGAACTCTACTTCTCCCACATTTCTCAATTAATCACAAATTACCATTCCCATAACAAAGTTGTGACTAACGCGCCCGTTACCCAGTTTAGCACTACTTCACCGACCGCATGCCCGCGGACACCTGTCTGGCACGTACAACTGGGGTTGCGGGGCCCTGCGCTGCAAGATGGCCTTCTGGTTTCCGAAGGCCCGCGCGCCGATGCGCACAGAAATCCGGGGTTTGACACTCGGCCCGGCGCAGGCTTCTCACTGAGCGCGCGGCCCCCGCCCCAATTGCGCCGCGGCTCGCCCTCCCTGAACGTTCGGATCGCCCTGCTGCCCCAGCCATCCGATAACCCTGTGGATGCCATGGCAATGGACACTCTAACAGTGCCATCATTGCATCAAAGATGTGCTTGAGATGTGCAAAACGTGTTCTCAAAAAATGTTTCAAGCATGTTGTTTCACACATTCAAAAGCAGGTTCGAAACCATCTGTTAGACACCTTCAAAAAATGTGGCAGCAGCCTTCCTCTCCATGATCAAGGGGCCCCAAGACACACAAATAAATACACACAACTAAAAATATTCGCCATATTTTCCTATATTTTCTGGGTTTCTGTCTTCCCCCCCACTTCCCATATTTTCCCATATTTTCTGGGGAATCGAGAATTAATTGTGTCTGTGTGTTTTTTCCTCTCCTGAAATGAGTCGACCTCCACAGCAGTGACCGCGCTCGGCCGGCGGCGCCCCGCGGCCGCGCGCCGCGCCCCCCGGCGGCAGGGGCCCCGCGCCCGCGACGGCCTGGCGCGGAGCCCCACGGCCGGGCACTCGGCCCTCCTCGCCGCAGTGCCGCGCGCAGAGGTGGCTCTGGCGCCGACGCGCTCGCCGCCGCCGGGCGGCTTCACGGCGGGAAGGACTTTTTTTGGAGAGGAGAGAGGAGGGAGGATCTTGGAGAGGAGAGAGGAGGAGGAGAGAGGAGAGGAGAGGAGAGGAGAGGAGAGAGGAAGAGGATTTTTGGAGAGAGGAATGCTTTTTCCAGCGCTGTTTTGGAGAGGAGGGAGGAAGAGGCGAAAGGGAGACAACGCACACCCCTGGTCATTGTCCGACTCGTGCCGGGGTGTCGGCAGGCAACCCTGCTGCAGGACCGGCATCGCCCTTTCCTCCCAGGTTTCACAACGGGAATGATGACTCTGGTTTTGAAATCACAACCCACTTCGCCGGAACCAGGTTGCCAGGGTAACCAGCTCATGTCGATCACCGCGTCGATGCTCCATCCCCCCGGGGTTCGTTCCTCCGAAACTTTTGGGACGTGGCGTTTTTGGGAAACCCCTGCGGAGTATCTGCGAGGATCTCCTGGCTGGCGTCTCGATGCCTAAGAACACTCAGTTGTCCCAACTAGCGGGCCATGATGACCCTCAACGAGCTTATGCAAATGGAGGGTTTAACGAAAGACCAACGTTTTCACCAGCGCCGTCAATTTGTCCAACTGGGCGGCGACATCTAGTTGTTCGGTTCGTCCAGGTTTATAGCTCGGCTCTAGCCAACAGAGTAGCCCCAGAAACCGCAGAATATCACTTGCCTAGTTTCTGGCACGCTGGCAGTCCATCTCCTTCTCTGAGCCCCTTTAACTTCCCCTGGGGCTCCACGCCCTCCAGCTTGTCATTCAGGATGCACCACATGTCCTCGTCTAACTTGTGCACCATGTATCTGGTGATCTCGAACCCTCCTTTGTCGTGATCCTCATGCTGTTTTACCACGACGGCTGTCGCGTACGCTGACACTATTAACCGACCGGTCAGGATCCTTAGCATGTCGTCGTCACTCTCGTCCTGCAACGTCCCGTCCACGGTTCCCAGCTTATCATTCAAGTTATCGAACGCTTCCCGTACTGCGGGCTCACCTGGGCTAGGGCGTTCAACAGCTTCATCGCTCCACTCGTGGAATTTGGCTCGGCCACCGGCGAAGGCATTGAGCTGCCGCGCGGGTTTTATATGCGGGGGACGGCTTCTACTTGCTCGCCGACCTGCTTTCGCCTTCCGCTATCGATCCAGGTATCTGCATTACTTGGTCCATCATGTTTTTCTGCGCGTTCCTTTGGTCCTCCACGCTCTCGATGATTGCCTAAAGTTGATATACAATTCCTCTTGCGTATATGTTGCGGTTCACGATGCTTATGAGTAGGGGGTGATTTTGGCGGCCATCAGTAACAGTTCACAATTTTCTTCGTTGGTGCCCGTTCTGACACCAGCTGCGGTCTGCCTCTCGATCACCTCTGTCGTCCCCTCGTGGTTTGCCCTCAGCGCCACTTTCACAAAATTGGAATCACCGCTATAATACGCGGCTTCGCATCACTCACTGAACCTCGCTGGAGTAAGTAAAACCATTGGTTTCGGTCTTGGGTAACTCCCAGAGCGGATCTGGGTGACCGGGTTCTGAGCCGCTGCTGCCCTGCCATTGATCTCGATCCGTTACCATATAAATTCCTGAGGACGATTTGCACGGGAACGATGACAGGCGATGTGTTTCAACAGCGGGGTTCGGCGCACGCTCCAATGCTAGGTACGTGGGCGAAAAGACGTTGCTAACAACAACCGATCGACAAACATGTGATGCTGAGCTCCTCACCGAGTCGCTCAGCCATGTTCTACAAGGTTCTACAAGCTCCTCCTCCTCCTCCTCCTCCTCCTCCTCCTCCTCATCCATTTCCTCATCCTCCTCCTCCTCCTCCTCCTCCTCCTCCTGCTCCTCCTCCTCCCCTCCTCCTTCTCCTCCTCCTCCTCCTCCTCCTCCTCCTCCTCCGTCCTCCTCCTCCTCCTCCTCTTCCTCCTCCTCCTCCTCCGCCCTCCCTCCTCCCTCCTCCCTCATCCGTCTTACTCGAAGCTCGAAGCTGAATACTGGTCTGTCACACGGGACTGAGACGGTTGGCTGCCCTGGGATCCCCCGAGGCAGTAGGCGCTTAATGTGTAGTTACCAAAGTTAAGACAATCAAAAGGGAAAAAGAGAAGAAGGAAAGACTATATGGCAGACCTATGGCAGACCCAACATACATGCAGGAGAAAGGGGAAGAGGCTGTGGGCGCTCTCCTCCTTTTCCCTCCGCCTCTCTCCTCCTCCGTTTCCTCCTCCTCCGTTTCCTCCTCCTCCCCATCCTCTTCCTCCTGCTCCTACTCGTCCGTCTCATCCTCCTCTTCTTCGTCTTCTTGACATCCGTCTTATTAGTAGTAGTGTCAATCAGATTACAATACACATTCATATTACTATTATTCGAATTACCATTATTAGTATTGATATCATTACTAATATGTATTTAGTAGTAGTAGTAGTAGTAGTAGTAGTAGTAGTAGTAGTAGTAGGAGTAGTAGTAGTAGTAGTAGTAGTATGATGATGATGATTCCTCCTCCTCCTCCTGCACCTCCTCCGCCTCCTCCTCCTCCCCCTCTTCCTTCTCCTCCCTCCTCCTCCTCCTCCTCCCCCTCCTCCTCCTCCTCCTCACCTCCTCCTCCTCCTCCTCCACCTCCTCTCCTCCTCCTCCTCCTCCTCCTCCCCTCCTCCTCGTCCTCCTCCTGCTCCTCCTCCTCCTCCTGCTCCTCCTCCTCCTCCTCCTCCTCCTCCTCCTTCTCGTCGCCGCCGCCGTCGTCGTCGTCGTCGTCGTCGTCGTCGTCGCCGTAGTCGTCGTCGTCCTCGTTGTCGTCGTCATCATCATCACCATCATCATCATCATCATCATCATCATCAGCATCATCATCATCATCATCATCATCATCATCATCATCATCATCATCATCATCATCATCATCATCATCAGCATCATCATAAGCATCATCATCATCATCATCATCATCATCATCATCATCTTCATCATCATCAGCAGCAGCATCGTCATCCTCATCATCGTCGTCATCGTCATCAGCATCGTGAGTATCATCATCATCATCCTCCTCATCATCATCCTCAGCATCATCAACATCAACATCATTACGGTCATCAGCATCAGTTTCATCAGCATCATAATCAACATAATCATCCTCATCAGCATCATCATCAGCATAATGGTCATCAGCATCATCATCATCATCATCATCATCATCATCATCATCATCATCATCATCATCGTCAACAGCAGCATCAGCAGCATCATCATAATAATCAGCATCATCAGCATCATCAGCA